CTTGATGCCAATTAAACTAGGTAGCCCAGCACTGCCATGGCCACGGCCATGAACAGCGTACTGGAGGCCTCCACAGACACGAAGCGCCCAGTGCTCTAATCGCCGGTTTGCCGAGAAGTTCCTTAAGGGGAACGGCTCTGGGGACCCGGGCACCGACCTCTTTAAGCACCACCAGCAATGCGTTCAGAAAGCAATAAAGGAGAAGGAGATTCCCACCAAGGACTAGAATTCATAGACCATGGCAAAGAAGAGCATGAGAGCTCTTCCTGACCTTGAAAGTCACCTTGAAAAAGGACTCCTTGAATCAGGAAGTCGAGGACACTGGATTTTGTCAGTTAAGGCTGCAAAAATAGCCATCAATTTGGTGAGGAGGTTAGGAGGGAGGAGTTCTCTTTCCTCCTGGATTTCCTCTCACTTGTAAGAGGATGAAGCATCACTCTTTGCTTTGAGTTGACTTCCCACACGCTCTGGCATCTTGCGGGAACTCCATGTGCTAAACCTGAATGATTCCTTGGGATTTGGTTTGCAGTCCTGGGTCTGGGATCAGTTTTAAATGTCCTTTGTATGTAAACACTGATAAACTTGTCACGATGCTGAGGATTGCCAGACCTCCTGAGTTTTGCCGCGAAGGACAGGAGGGACCTTGTACTGGGGATTTACTCACAGAAGCAATTGGTTCAGATCTCTTTCCTTTCCGGGAGCTAATGCTCTGAGATGGGATCCCAGTGCAAGTTTTAATCAATGCTTGGGAGCACGGTTTTATTTGTACGTGATAACTGTTAAGACCGCTGGTGGAGTGGGTTAGCGAGGAGGAAGACAGCTTTAACAGAGTTCCCCGCCCTAAGAAGAGGTATCAGTTTTCAGGTTAAGATGTGAAAGCTTGAAGAATGTTGCAGTAAAGACCATTTCGGAGCTCACGGCGTAGTTGAGGAGGTAAGATCCTTGGAGTAACTATAGAGGAACATCCTACATTGCAAAGACTTGTGGTTGCCAGCTTTCCACCCGGGCAGATTCATTAACCAACCCGCGTGATCATAAAACTGTCCCAATGTCGCACCTGGTTAAGTGGGAGAAGGGTTTGCTTTATTTGACATGTAATGTCTGTTGTTATGAAGATGGAATAAACTATAACATCTAGTTTTGAATCAATCAATCAATCAATCAAAATAAAATAGGTAGCTCATTCTGTTTGTTTAGTTGTGAAACCTTACTTTCAAGTGCACTTCTTCTTTTTCTTCTTTTTTTCTAATTTTTTTTATTTTTGAGAGAGAGACACACGCCCACAGCGGGAGCTGGGGAGGGGCAGAGAGAGAGGGAGACACAGAATCTGAAGCAGGCTCCAGGCCCTGAGCTGTCAGCTGCCTTGGAGCTCAAACCCATGAACCGTGAGATCATGACCCGAGCTGAAGTCCGGTGCTTCAACCCAGGGCCACCCAGTCACCCTGTAAGTGCATTTTTTAAATGAATGATCTTGCCTAATTAGAAAGTTTCCCGGAACAGCTGTGGTCATTCTTGGGTGTCCTAGTAAGATTTTGCCATTTTTATAGACATCTACACTTCTAGCACCATGGCTCTCAGACAGCAAATAAGTAGGTATCCTGGAAGGTGACATGCTTGATTCTTTGAAAACTGAGGATCCTGTTCCGTTAGCCGAGGTGTCGGTCTCTCTAAGCCAAGTTAATAACCGAGAGGGATATGCCACTGGGGTTGAGGAATGTGCCGAGTTTTACAGTGTACATCGGTGCTTGGGAAGTTTCCCGGATTGGCAGGTGACCTAGTGCTGGTCTCACCTGTTCCATGACCAGCTAGCACGGGAACCTTAGATTTGGGTGGCAATCTCTATTGGGAGATTGTTTTTTTTTTTTATTTTTTTTATTTTTTATATTTTATTATATAAAATATAAAAAATTTTATATTTTATTTATTATTTATTTATTATTTATATTTATATTTTATTTTATTTTATTTTATTATTTTTTAAAGATATGAGGGGTGCCTGGGTGGATCAGTCAGTTAGGCGTCCAACTTCAGCTCAGGTCATGATCTCACAGTTTGTGGGTTCAAGCCCTGCATCAGGCTCTGTGATGACAGCTAGCTCAGAGCCTGGAGTCTGTTTCAGATTCTGTATCTCCCTCTCTCTCTGACCCTCTCCTGCTCACTCTGTCTCTCTCTATCTCAGAAATAAATTAAAAAAAAAAAAATTAAAAAAAATTTTTAAAACTGATTTTCTTTTTAAGTAATTTCTACACCCAATGCGGGGCTCAAACTTACATCCCCAAGATCAAGAGTCACATGTTTTGCCAAATGAGCCAGCCAGGTGCCTCTTGAATGCATTTTAATGGTCTGCTGTGTCTTCTTAGATTTTGATGTGCTGTCGGTCAGGGAAGTCCAAATTTCTTATCTTCACTTAATTCCTCAGGTCCTCCAGTGCTTTATGCTGTGGACTGTCCTTGAGGCTTTGCAAGTCGCCCTAATGGCTCCAAACCCAAATGTTGTGGCTCACTAGGTCTCACCGTGAAAAATCCGGTCTCTCACGTTCCAGTTTTCCTTCTGGAAGGAGTAGAACAAACGCACTTGGACAGCTCAGCGTATGAAACAGGAAAAGGAGTTTACCAGAGATCCCAGCAAGCAGCCAAAGAGGTAGGGAATGAAAATGGCTCTGCAGGCGGAGACCTTCACCGGCATCTAGGCACCAACCCCAGAATCTTAGTAACGGTCCTTGGCTCCCATCCTCATTCCCCACACTGCCAAATGACAAAATTGAAACAATTTAATAACAAGTTCAATGTCCTTTATTTAAGAGAAAACATTCCATGGGTTGGGGGAGCACAGTACCTCACAAGCAGTAGAGCGCTCTTCTTGAGGGATTTGGGGAAACAGTGAGTCGTATAGAGCATTGGAAGAGGCAACTAGGAATGGCCTGATCAGCTCAAAGGCTAGGAGTTTCCCTCTAAGGCCGGCTGGTCCTATTTTCCAGGATAAAGTCCACCAGCCAAAGCTATGTGGGAACATTGTGGTTGGTGGACGTGAGGTTTCCTTGGCAGGTGTTTCCTGTGAGCACGGGCTGACTTGGGTTTAGATTTTGCGATGTGGGCCAGGCCACTGGTAGGAGGACTTCCATTTTGTAAGTCTTGATATACAAATTAACCTGATTGGCTTCTAATGATAGTTTTGAAGTATTGATGTCCGATCATTGGTGTCTTGTCACTGGTCAAGAAATTCACTGAAACGGGCACCTGGGTGGCTCTGTCGGTTAAGCTTCCAACTGCGGCTCAATCAAGATCTCATGGTTCATGGGTTTGAGCCCCACGTCAGGCTCTGTGCTGACAGCTCGGAACCTGGAGCCTGCTTCGGATTCTACGTCTTCCTCTGTCTCTGACCCCCCCTGCTCTCTCTCTCTCTCTCTCAAAAAAAACCCCCCATAAACATTAAAAATTTTAAAAAAATAAGAAAGTCACCTAAACATCAGATAAGGGCTGGAGGTAGATTGGGGGTGGGGCATTGAAGGAGGCTAATAGTAAAAGCCTGTGACTGAGGGACTGAGGCTGCTGGGGTTTCTGAAGATTCCGGGTATGAGAAGACACGTGACAGTGTTATTTCCTTGAGTATCACAGCTTGCTTCCTGTGAGGGCATTAGGGAAAGAGGCCCCAGGAGAGGGCCCCGAGAAGAGCATCATCTGTTCTGGGCATGAAATGGTGGTGAGGATGGTGACAGAAAGCAAGAAAAGGAAACTGGCCTTCATTGGGTACGCATGATGCGCCGGGCATTTTGCTAGTTCTCACATTTTCTTTGCTTTCCCAAAAGAACCTCAAGTGCAGTGGTTCTCAACCCAGGGCAGTTCTGTCTCTGAGAGATCGTCTGGCCAAGGCTCGAAACATTTTCATTTTCACAACCAGGGTGTCCACGGCATCTCGCAGGTAGAGGCCAGAGGTGCTCAGAATTATTCTACAATGTACGGGACAGGCCATCCCGGTGAGAACTGTTTGGCCCAAAATATCAGAAGTACTGAAGCTGAGTAATCCTGCTTGAAGGGGAGACCTGACTACCTCGTTGTTTTTTTTAATGTTTATTTATTATTTTTGAGAGAGAGAGAGTGAGCGAGTGTGCGTGAGCGTGGGGGAGATGGGAGCAAAGAGAGAGGGAGACACAGAATCTGAAGCAGGCTTCAGGCTCTGAGCTGTGAGCACAGAGCCTGACGTGGGGCTCGAACCCACGGACGGAGAGATCATGACCAGAGCCGAAGTCAGACGTTCAACCGACTGGGCTGCCCCTGATTACCTTTGCTTGTACAGGTGAGCAATCCAGGGTTCTGAGAGGCTACCTACCACTCAAAACTAGTCTCCTCTAGCTCCAAGGCCCGTGTTCCTTCCCCCACGCCCAAGTGACAGGCACAGTGATGGGACTGAGGACGGCAAAGGTAACGAACCAGGGCCCAGACTGGTGCTCAGAAGATAATCCATTGAAGGGTTGAAGGAAGGAACAAAAGAATGCATGTCCAAGGGGGGTAAAGAAGTGGGGATCATCGTCTTCATTCCACCCTGACGCACCTCTTTGTTCTTGCTCCGCACCCAGGAGGGAGTCAGGGATGGAGATAATAAAGAAAATGAGATGATGGTGGGCTCTCTCGAGCCCCTATGGCTTCAGGATCGTCGAGGCTCCGCATGGAACTAGAAGTCACAGAAGACTGACTCCACATTCTGCTCCACTGCCTCTTCTAAAGACCCAGGAACAGATAGGAGGGTCTGAGCTGAGCTTGGGTGACTGCTCCCCTCTTTCTCCCAGAGGCTGAGCCCGGCTGTGTCCCAAAGAAGAGGAAGACATTGTTTCCCAGTTGCTGAAATTTCTGTGAATTTGGATTTGGGCTGAGCCAGATCCCTTCTGGGAAGCTCCGAATCTTCTGGGAGGGACCGGTTGAGAGGAAAAAGGGTGGAAGGGGAGGGGCCTATGGTAAGACAACATTTCTTTTCACTTCCTCTTTGGCACTTCAGAATCTGTCTGTCCTCCCTGGGTGGAATCAGTCAAGCCTCAAGAGAAGTCTGTGACTGCCACGCCGGTGCTGCCAGGGCAAACGTGTGCCAGGAATTGATGCAGGTCCCTTCATCCCGTCCCCTCCCTGTTGCCGGTAGTGACCGGGCTGAGGGCGTGCCCTGCCCCTCTTTGGGCGACATGCTGCTGTGGACGGCTCTGCTCTTCTTGGGTGAGTCCGGGTCCCAGAGGGACAGAAGCAGGTGCCAGGAGGGTGAAGGCAGGCTGACGGAGTCCGGACTCGGATGAGGCTGCTGGCTGTGGCAAACGAGGACACTGGTTGTTGTTAGTGACTTTTGCCTGATATCACTGGACAGTCGGGTCACCGGCGTTCTGTCACTCACTACCTCTGAAAAGTCTAGTGAGCTAGGTTTGAGTGACTAATGAGTGGCCGGGGTGTTTCCCTTCCTTAGAAATCTGTGGTCCACAGGGACCAAATCTTCAGTGGGGTGGCTAACGCTGTCTGAGACAAGAGTTAGGGAGGAAGCAGGAGTCATTCTCTGTGCCCCTGAAACCACTTCAGGCAGCAGAAGCCTCTTCTGGTTATGTGTCAGATTTCCCCTGGGAAGAAGCACAAAAGGGTCTGGGTGATCCAGGGAATGGGGGCGCAGGGAACGTGCAACCCTGGCAATTCTGGAATCGTCCATTGTAGGAGAAATCACGCACGCCTCTTTGTACTGCACACACATGGAGATAGGTCCTGGCTCTGATCACGGCGAAAGCCGGAGTCCTAGGCCAAGATGGTGGACCACAGACTGACGGTGCCCAGTGAGAGGAAGTCTAGGGAGGCCAACTAAGGAGGCTGCCTTGCCAGGACTGTCTGTCCAAGCTCAACTCCTAGAGTTTCCTACCTCGGATACATCTCAGGACGGCCCCAGAGGAAGACATGCGGCCACTTTCCAGTCAGGTGCTCTGACTGGTAGTAAAATGTGGCCAACGGTGGGAGCCCTCGGCCCTCAATGCTGAATGATACTGGGATAGGAAGTAGAGGTGAGAAAGAGACAGTATTGCCTCATGAGCAGGATAAAATGGACAGAAGTAGAATAGCATGTAAATGGAGCACTGAACTCTCTCCTTTTTCATGTGGGGAAGCTCAGGCCTGGAGAGGGGATACGCTCCCCATCTCTGCTGATAGTGGTACACATGTGCAATCACCTGGGCAACACTTGGTATCTTCTTCTGTTTGCTCTTTTGCTAAGTCACGAAAGATTTGGTCCAGTTTTCCCATTCTTATTAGGGCCACCATATTTAGGTCTTCATCACTCAATAACTCAACTTCTATTATTTAAAAAAAAATTTCCCCCTAATCTTTATTTTTGAGGGGAGGAGGGGTAGAGAGAGAGGGAGACACAGAATCCGAAGCAGGTTCCAGGCTCCGAGCCGTTCAGCACAGAACCTGATGCGGGGCTCCAGTTCACAGATGGTGAGATCCTGAAGTTGGATGCTTAACCGACTGAGCCCCCAGGTGTCCCATCGATAACTCAACTTTTAGAACAGCCTCTGACCCCATCTTGGATGTTTTTGTCTCTTCTACTCTGAATCCACGCTTTATACTGAAGCTATGACATCTTCAAGTACAGTCACAGCTGAGTCATTGCATCAGAAATGCCTTCAGTGCTGCCCTATTGCCTACTGAATAAAGCCCCAATTCTGTTCTCTTAACCATGTTCCCATTGCCCCAAGTGGATCTTCTACAACCAGGCAATGTGTTCACTGCATGTCCTGCTTTCTACAGATTCCACAAACTGCCCTGTTGAATCATTAGATAAATGCTATGGACAGGCGTGTTCTAGGACATGGAGATTTACCAATGAATAAGACAGACAGCCTTCCTGACCTAGAGCACAAGGTCTTTGTCTCCCTTACAATGATTCTTTTGGGTGTGTGTTCCCTACCATTCATTGAGTGTGGAATGAATAAATGGCTGATGAATTCTCTCTACTCTTCTCACCTTTTTCTTGTTTCTCCTCTTCCCCTTCTCTTAGGCTCTACTTCTTCATCTCCTCTCCTGCACTGTCCCTCTCACCAAATCCTACACACTCTGGTTTTTAGCTCTCACTTCTATGTCAACAGCTTCCAAACCTACCTCTCTTGTTTGTCAAGTGCAATTGCATGTTTCCAACTACTGGTTGGACACCTCCACACTGATATGCCAGCTCAGAAACAAGATCTATTCCAACTCAACTTATCATCTTCCCCTTACAAATGTACTCTTCCTTCTAACATTTATATCGTGTGAGCATTAAGAAACCTTTTTCCTAGACATCTGTTTATATTACCCCACTCCCAGTTCTGCCTCTTAAATTTCTCTCGCGTGCGTATCTTCTTCACTTCCCATTGTCAATACAACTGTGCCTCCCCCCCCACTTATTTCCCACCTAGACTCATTCAATAAGAGATTTACAGAGCATTGGCGAATAAATTGATATGGCTACTGCCCTCTTTGAGCTTACGTTCTCCTGCGAGATATAAACAACAAATAAGCAAACACATAGTCACAAATAGAAATTGGAAAGGGCCATGAAGATGTAAACAGGATACTCTGATAAGACAAATCTTTGTGGGGAAGAAGAAAGGGCAGCCTACTTAAACAGGATGATATGGAAAGTGTTTTCTGAGGAGGTGACCTCGAGCTGAGACTAGGAGCATAGGAAGGATCTAGCCCTTTGAAGAGAAAAAGGAAGTAGGTGTAGGGAAGAGGGATCAGCATACACAAAAGCCCCAAGTGTGAAGAATCCAAAGAGGAGCTCAATGACTAGGGGAAGAGGGCCTCAAGATGAGACGGGAGAGCTGAGCAGGGCCCTCACCCTGTGGGGCCTCATAGACACGTACACTTCATTTCAAGAGCAAAGGAAGGCCCTTGTAGGTTTGCAAGCAGGGGAGTGATGATATCTGACCTGATATTTTATTTTATCATTATTTAATGTTTATTTATTTTTGAGAGAGAGAGACACACAGAGCGTGAGCAGGGGAGGGGCAGAGAGAGAGAGAGACACAGAATCCGAAGCAGGCTCCAGGCTCCGAGCTGTCTGCACAGAATCCAATGTGGGGCTTGAACTCATAAACCATGAGATCACCACCTAAACCAAAGTTGGATGCTTAACTGACAGAGCCACCCAGGTGCCCCTCTGATCTGATATTTTAAAAATAACTCTTGCCTCTCTGTGGGAAGTGGATTGTAGGAGGACACAGGAGTGAGGAGAAGAGTTAGGAGGTGGTGGGAAAAGCTGGTGGTGACCTAAACCAGCATGGCGGCCATGGGCATGGAGGGAAGCTGATGGACTCGGGGCCTAAGCCAGAAGCAGAATCAACAAGGTTCACTGGTGTGAAGTGTCAGGGGGCTTAGGAGAGAGAGGGGAATAAAGGTGACTTGCAGTTTTCAGGTCTGACTCACGAGATAGATGGTGAAGATGTACACTTACGTGGGGAAGAACAGGAGAAGCTGTAGCGAACTGGGGAAAGACAGAGTCCAAATTGCAGAGATCGAAACAGTGAATGGAAGGAGTAGAGGTGAGGGTGGGCCAGGTGGAAGAAACATTTTGAGAAATCTGGCTACGAAAGGGAACAGAGAAATGATTTGGGAACTATATGTGGGATCAAGCCAGAAGCTTTTTTTTTTTTTTTTTTTTAAATGAAAGATCTTGGAACATGTTTGTGTTTGTGGGCAAGACCCAGCTGAGAAGGAGAGACTGATGACGCAGAAGAGGGTGGAAATGATAGAGAGAGAGAGAGAGAGAGAGAGACCCTGGCTAGGGTGACAGAGATCACAACACAGACCCACCACAACTGGGGAGAGAAGCAGGGAAACTTTGCCCAGTAATCGGCGAGAAAGGAAGTTGGACGGAGGTGCAGATAGGTCAGACATTTGAGCTGGGGGAATGGGGGGAGGTATGAGATTTCCTAACAGCTTTTGTCTTCTGCGAAGTACTGAGGAAGGCATCGGCATTAAGAGAGAAGGGTTCGGAGGCAGAGGGCGGGAAAGTTTTGGAGGCCAGAAAAGATGAGCCTCACTGAGCAGCAGAGCAAATCTCCTAGAGAAAATTGTCAGAGGGGCACTTGGGTGGCTCAGCTGGTTAAGCGTCCAACTCTGGCTCAGGTTGTGATCTTGTGGTTCATGGGTTCGAACCCTGTGTGGGGCTCTTTGCTGACAGCCCAGAGCCTGGATGGAGCCTGCTTTGGAGTCTGTGTCTCCCTCTCTCTCTGCCCCTCCCCCCTTCATGCTCTTTCTCTCTCTCAAAAATAAATAAACATTAAAGAAGAAAATTTTAAAAAATGATCAGAAGGGCAGTTCAATGTCCTTTTGTATATGGTGACTGCAAATTTTTAGGAACATCCATCTGCCTGCTTGTGTAGTAATTTTAGTAACACATGGCTGAACCAGTAAAGACATGGGAAACAGAGCTGGATTTGACAGACACGGCCAAGGGTAAGGACGTTAAGGGGATTTGCATGGGGGCTTTTTTTTTTTTTTGAGGGGATTCTTTGTGATGATGAATCATCAAGTCTAAACTCTGGGCTGATCTTTGCTCTCTCTCTTACAGGTCCAGTTGTGGGGACACCTGGTGAGTGCTCCACCCACATCCTCTCCCGCCCCCAGCTACCTTCTTTCTCACTCCCAGCGCCCCATCTGGGGATGCCCTGAACGCCCCAGTAACCCAGTACCGAAGCAGAGCCTAGAAAGAGTCAGGGCTTGGGGCGCCTTGGTGGCTTAGTCGGTTAAGCGTCCGACTTTCGCTTGGGTCATGATCTCGCGGTTCATGGGTTCGAGCCCCGCGTCGGGCTCTGTGCTGACTGCCAGCTCAGAGCCTGGAGCCTGTTTCAGAGTCTGTGACTCCCTCTCTCTGACCCTCCCCTGCTCATGCTGTCTCTCTCTCTCTCTCTCCTAGAAATAAATAAAACATTAAAAAAATTAAAAAAAAAAAAAAAAGAAAGAGTCAGGGATCCCGGAAGATGCCCGCCCCCTCCCCCTCTCTCCTTTCTCTTGCCCCTCCTCCCAGGGAAGCAGGGGACAGGCAGCCTAGGGACACAGGTGCCTTCAACCCTTCTGGTTCTCTGATGGTGAGCTGTCTGTCACAGTTGTCACAGGACATAACTCGCCCTCTCTCTCACACCTTTCTCTCTCCAAGTAAACTCAAGAGCCCGGCAATTTTAGTTTCAGCTGCACGCAAAAGCCCATCATCTGCCTGGGGTGTGCCCATGTGCTGATTAACCCTCCACTTTGTGTGTCTCTGAGGGCTTCGGGGCCTGTCTCCCTGGACAGAAATGGGGGAGACCCCTGGCTGCAGCTGGGAGAAGTGAACTCTGCTGGGCGCGTCTTTCTCTCTACCACTAAGGTGCCCACGCCCCAGGCCCGGGGAGGAGGGTGAGGTTCTCCCTGGGCCACTGACACAGGGATCCCTGCACTGCCCCCCGCCCCCCAGCCTTTCTCTCTCTTCCGTTATCCTTTTGAGGCCCCAGAGCCTCTTCTGACTTAGGTCTGAGGATAGGTCTATTCTAAGGGATAAAGATTGACATCAGGTCAGAACAGAAAGCGGATGTTTGCCTCATGCCGGACACCTCCCCCAGCTGCCCCCGCTTGTGTTCACCAGCTCTGCGGAGGGGCCGTCCACAGCATGCAAGTGCCTCAGTTTACAGGGGAGGAAAGTGAGTTCCAAAGGGGCATGTATGTGTAGTGTGTGTGTGTGTGTGTGTGCGTGAGAGAGAGAGAGAAAGAGAGAGAGAGAGGAAGGAAAAGAGGAAGGAAAGAAGGAAGGAAGGGAGAGAGAGAGAAAGAGAGGAAAGAAAGGGAGAAGGAAAGAACAAAAGGAAGGAAGGAAGAAAGGAAGGAAGGAAGGAAAAGAAAGAAAGAAAGAAAGAAAGAAAGAAAGAAAGAAAGAAAGAAAGAAAGAAAGAAAGAAGGAAAGAAAGAAAGAAAGAAAGAAAGAAGGAAAGAAAGAAAGAAAGAAAGAAAGAAGGGAGAGAGAGAGGAAAGAAAGAGAGAAGGAAAGAACAAAAGGAAGGAAGGAAGGAAAAGAAAGAGAGGAAGGAAGGGAGAAAGGAGAGAGGGAAGGAGGAAAACAAGGAAGGAAAGGCCTGCTTCGGATGACCCCTGGTGAGACATCCATCCATTTCTAGAACGTTTGCCTCGCCCCTTCTCCCTTTCTCCTACCTCTTGCCCTCTCTTTCTTTCTTCTTTTTTTTTTTTAATTTTTTATTTATTTTTGAGAGGCAGAATGAGTAGGTGAGGGTCAGAGAGAGAGGGAGATACAGAATCCAAAGACGGGCTCCGAGCTCTGAGCTGGCTGTCAGCACAGAACCTGATGGGGGCTCGAACCCATGAACCATTCGATCATGACCTGAGCCGAAGTCGGATGCTTAATCGACTGAGCCACCCAGGCGTCCCTCTTGCCCTCTCTTTCTGAGGAACGGTGACGCTCCGGGAGGGGACCTGGCTTCCCAGGGGCCCCCGTGGTGGGACGTAGGAGGGCAAGGAGCCACCTACACTTGCAGAAGACGTCTGGCCGGGGTCCACGCCCGATGCCCCCCAGCGCGACGCCAGGTGCTTGATATCGGGGGCCTGCTTGGGCCCTTGGGGTCCCCTCTCCTCACGCTTGCCCTTCTCTCTGCCCCTGAGCAGCCCTCCCGAAGGCTGTGGTGGCCCTTGAGCCCCCGTGGATCCACGTGCTCCAGGAGGACAATGTGACGCTCAAGTGCCAGGGAGGCCACGCAGCTGGGGACCCCTCCACCCGGTGGTTCCACAACGGCAGCGCCATCCCGGCGCAGGGCCGGCCCAGCTACAGCTTTCAGGCCAGCAAGGAGGACAGAGGCGAGTACACGTGCCAGACGGACCAGACCAGCCTCAGCGACCCCGTGTATCTGGACGTGATTTCCGGTCAGTGGAGGAGGCCCGGGGCTGGTCTGGGAGGACCGGGAGAGACCAGTCCTGCCCACAGAGGCTTTCAGGGAAGAGGCGCCGCTGCCAGCTGTTTGAAGTCGTTTCCTCCCCCCATTTCCCCTTGCCCCCCATTTGTGCAGTGCGTGTGGTGGGTGGACGTTCCTAAGAGATTCCTCTGGGTCTGTTCAGCTGGGCTGCCTCAGTCCTGATTGAGCGAGAACCGTGACAAGGCTGCGAACAAGCCGAGGGTTAGGAGAGAAGCAGAAGGAAATTCCGGCTGGTAGAAACCCGCCTTTGTGGCAGTCACGAACCAGCCGGGCCAACCGGGGCTGCTCGCTACCAGCCACGGGAGCGCGGCCATCAGTCTGGCCTTGGGTCCGTTTCCTCACCTGCTCCTGGGGGTAACGGTGCCTCGCTCCCCAAGTCCTGGTGAGAATCACATTTCCCTGCACACCCCCCCCCCCCGCCCCTGCAGGCAACCTGACCTGAAAATTGTGGGTTAGCTGTGTTTGCACTTCCCTCCTGATGGGGGACAAAGGCTTGAACACCGAGCAGATGAGTGATTATACCAAGCTCCTGGGAGAAAGGCATCTCTCCATAAAGAAAAGCCACCAGGCAGTTAAGATATGTGCTGTCACCGTTACTCTCCGTGTAGCCCCTTTGCCTCACCTGATTCCCAAATTTTCCTCAAAAGCCCAGGGCCTGCTGCCCAGCCCCCCCGCCCCCCACTCTCGGCCCCACCGGAAGGGACAGAAGGTTCTGTCGACTGGCAGGGCCTTGACTTTTGTGTCTCCAGGAAGGGAAGGAGGTGAGGACACCCCCCCTAACTCCCCCCCCCCCGGACTGCGTGTGTCCCCCGCTAGCCATTGGAGCAAGGAGGGACGTGTGCGCTCATCGGTTCTCTGCCCGGTTTCCGGGTTGCAGAGGACTTCCGTTCCCAGGTCACCGAAAAGGCCCCTTGATTACCTGGAGATTGTCCGAGTGCCACCAACACCAGACTGGGCCCGATCTCAAGATCTGCCCCAAGATAAGTGTGCTCCCGGAGAGCTAAGGGGGCCCCCCACAAACCAGCCTGTGGCCGTCACTCCCCAGTGACCAGGTCATGACCTGGCACCAGCACAGGCTTTGCAGGGAAGGCAGGGCCATCCCAATGACCATGACGAACGTCCTCCGCGATGGGGACCCGCCTAGATGGGGGGGCGAGATGCGCGCCAGTCGTCCTGGTGCCACCAGCAGCAGGCATTGTCTCTGGGTTCTACTTCATTATTATTATTTTTTGTTTATTTATTTTGAAAGAGAGAGAGACGGAGCGCGGGAGCGGGAGAGGGGCAGAGAGAGCCGGGGAGGGGAGAGAAGCCCAAGCCGGCTCTGAGCTGTCAGCGCAGAGCCCGACTCGGGGCTCGATCCCACACACTGCAAGGTCACGACCTGAGCCAAAGCCACGAATCGGATGCTCAACGGTTGGAGCCACCCAGGCGCGCCTCTACTTTATTTTTAGAAGCTTTACAGTCTCAGCGTTCCTGCCTGCGCGAGTCCAATCTTGTGAAAGAGGCAGTGCAGGGCCCCGGGCCGCTCGCTCAGCCTCACCCTGGGGTGCAGGGTGCAGCCTGAGTCTCAGTTCCCGCAGAGGACGAATCTGCAGAAGGGAAAGGCGGGGACGTGGGTGGAATGTGTCTCCCCAACAGGAGACTTGGGCTTTTCTAGCCTGTGGGACCCGGGCCGCAAGAGTGTCCCCTCTGCTTTCCCGCTGTCGCTGGGGCTTCCTTTTCTCTTTGCTGTCACTCAGTCCCTGGGTAGTGAGCCTCTGAGCATTCTCCCCCCTGCATCCCTGGCAGGATCACCGGCCAGTGCAGAACGGGGTGGGCCTCGCTCTGGTCAGCCGGCCGCAGGGAGTGCTGGCCCTCACGCACCATGCTGCTGTCACTCTTCCTGCCCCGCCCCCACCCCGTCCCTGCCCCCTTCTAATTCTGCTCTGTCTTCCGCCTGTCTTTCCAGTTCCAGCCCTGCTCTGTGCTCCCGCTTTAGGGAAAAGGTGTGGGGCACCCGGGTGGTTCAGCTGGTTGAGCGTCCAACTTCGGCTCAGGTCATGACCTCATGGTTCGTGGGTTTGAGCCCCGTGTCGGGCTCTGTGTTGACAGCTCAGAGCCTGGAGCCTGCTTCGGGTTCTGTGTCTCCCTCTGTCTCTGCTCCTTGCCTGTTAATGCTCTCTCTCGCTCATTCTCAAAAATAAACATTAAAAATAAAAAAGGAAAAGGAGTACATGGACTGAGGTCAGGAAGGCTCTATTCCCTACACAATACGATTACAATTACTAAGTATTTTTTCTTCCTCAGTGAAAGAATGAAAATTGGTAGGGAAAAGGTACATGGCCGGCTAATGACTCGCCCAAGACACTGCTGCTTTCAGACAAAGACCCCATGACGTAAAACTCCACGGTTCCCAACATACCTCAAATACCCTAACACCACATGTCCGTGACTTCTCTCCCGAAAGACATATGTCACCTCCTTGGTCAGATTGGATCTCTCCCATCCCTCCCCCAAGGAAGGGACTGCGCCCTGGGGTCTCTCTCTCTCTCTCTTTTTCTTTAATGTTTATTTATTTGAGAGAGAGAGAGAGAGAGAGAGAGAGAGACTGAGTGGGGGAGGGGCAGAGAGAGAGGGAGACACAGGATCTGAAGCAGGCTCCAGGCTCAGAGCTGTCAGCACAAAGTTGGATGCAGGGCTTGAACTCACGAACTGTGAGATCATGACCTGAACCAAATTTGGATGCTCAATCAGTCAATTAAGTCACTCAGGTGCCCCTCCTCACTTTTCTGGGTGGGATCCTTGTATCCTTCTTGCCAGGGCCTACTGGGCAGGACAGAGAAGGCAGGCATATCCTGAACACCTACTACGTGCCAGGATCTACTGTAGATGCGTGGTGTTCTGCTATCCATTTTCACGGCTGAGGAATCCGGGGCCCAGAAGGGGCCCACAATTGCCATGCTCCCAGATGGCAGAGCCTGCTGTGGACACCAGGGGCCACTGGATTCCGAACTCCAGCCCTTCCCTCCATGCACCATGTCCCACCAGTAAGGACAGCGCAAGTCTCAGAGTTGAGTCAACACCCCCTGGTTCCTGGGGGCCCTCTGTGTCTTCCAGACTGGCTGGTGATCCAGACCCCTCGCCTGGTGTTCCAGAAGGGGGAGCCCATCGTCCTGAGGTGCCACGGCTGGAGGAACAGGCGTCTGTACAAGATCACGTTCTTCCAGAATGGGAAATCCAAGCAGTTTTCCTCGATGAATTCCACCTTCTCCATCCCACGGGCAAACGTCAGCCACAGTGGCAAGTACCACTGCACAGGGCTAATATGGCCGTTGATGCGGACGTCACAGTCTGTGGCCATCACCGTGCAAGGTGGGAGCTCCGTCAGGGTGGGGAGAGGGTTAGGGGGTGGCCAGGTACAGCTGCTTGGGGACCTGAGAGATATCCCAGGAGAAACAGCTGGGCCCTGAGGAAAAGAGGGGGAGGAACAGGGGCCTTGATAAATATTGGCCAAGGGGCCGGAGGAGGTGCTGGGGTGCGGGGCCCTCAGCCTCAGGTCGCAGGTGGAAAGGCTGTGTGCTGCTGGCCCGCAGGTCCTATCCTAAGGACAGCAATGACGCCGAGCTCCCTGGTGGGCGCAGAGGCTCCTTGAGCTCCTGGACGTGCCCGAGGACAGAGGGTTTCCCATTTCTTCTTAGTGCTCACGCTGTGTTCATCCGCTCGCTCCTCAAGGCAGGGCACATCCCACGGTTCAAGGCCTTGCTGGATCCAGTGGCGGTGCCTTCCACCAGGGGAGGCTTCAGGCCCCCCTCCCTCCTCTCCCTGAGGGCTGACAGGAGCCCTTCCTGAGGCCCCCCCGCCCCCTGCACAGGCTCTCGGGTGCCTTTATTAGGCACCTGGTGTGGGGGAGGCACACTCAGGCCGCAGCAGCCCGTGCAGGGGAGGCTGGGGGAGGAAGTGAGCGCAGCACCTGCGAGGGACCCAGACACTAAGCAGCTCCCGGGGACAGGCACCGTGGGAGAGGACCGGCTGTCCTGAGGTCTGTCTTCCCCAGAGTCCAGTTGGAGTGACTCCTCAGTGACAGTGGTGATTGTGGCTGTGGTTGTGGGCACTGTCGCCGTGGCCGTCCTCGCTGCCGTCGTGGCCTGGCTCCGCCGCAGGCAGAAGCAGACTTCAGGTTTGTGGCTTCTCTTGGTTTCTCTTGTTATCAGTTCCTGTTCGGCCAGGGCCCTAACCCTGGACGTGGCCAGAACCCTTCTCTTGGGGCTAAGAGGATCCTTATGATTCATAGTCCCTTGGTTTTTTGTTTTTAGTTTATTTATTTTGAGAGAGGGAGGGAGGGAGGGGCAGAGAGAGAGGGAGAGAGGGGAGCGCGAGCAGGCTCCTTGCTCTCAGTGCAGAGCCCGATGGGGAGCTCGATCCCACCAACTGTGAGATCATGACATGGGCTGAAATCTAGAGTTGGACACTTCACCGTGTGTCCCTATACCCCACGTTTCATTCATCCATCCATCCATCTATGCATTCATTCATTCATTCAACAAGGCTCGGACAAACGTGCTGGTGTGTGCACTACTAGGCGCTGCGGGTGGTAAGTCGGGTCTCTGCTCTCAAGGAGCTCACAGAGCAGTGGGGACAGCAGGCCTATAAGTAAATCGTTATAACCAGATGTGATGGCAGCAATGACAGAGAGGTGCAGAGGCTGTGGATGCAGGGGACACAGGGGCCCGCACGACCCAGCACACGGGGAGCCATCGAAGAAGCTTTCTCAGGAGGCAGTGGTACATGTAGTGACCCTAACACACGTGATGGGGCCAGACCACCCGAGTTTTTTTTTTTTTTAATTTTTAATGTTTCATTTCTTTCTTTTTTTTTTAATGTTTTATTTATTTCTAAGAGAGAGAGAGAGAGACAGCGTGAGCAGGGGAGGGTCAGAGAGAGAGAGAGAGAGACAGACTCCGAAACAGGCTCCAGGCTCTGAGCTGTCAGCACAGAGTTGACGCAGGGCTCGAACCCAAGAACTGTGTGATCATGACCTGATGCAGAAGTCGGACGCTTAACCGACTGAGCCACCCAGGCGCCCCACCACCAGAGTTTAAATCTCTGCTCCACTGCTCCCCCGCTGTGTGAGCTTGGGTGAGTTATTTGACCTCTCTGCGCCTCCGTTTCTTCATCCGGAAAATGAGGACACTGATGGAAACTACCCCGTAGGGTTGTAGGAGGGACGAATGAGGCTGAGCTCTTACGACAGGGCCGAGTTCACAGCGAACAGCACTCAAGTGAGATCTGTTATCGTTACGGAGGAGGCCATGTTTGAAGGGAGCCGTTAGCCGGGCAAAGTGGGCCGAAGAGCGTTCTGGACACGGAAATGGGGAACCCCGCAGCTGGGAAGGGGCCTGGGGAGGAGCGAGGAGCGCACTGGAGGCGGTGGGAGGCGTGGAGGCCATAAACTGCAAGGCACAAAGGAAGGAGACCTGAGTCAGGCAGGCAAATGGACAACGGCCGGGTCACGCAGACCACAGAGGCCACATTAAAGAACGAAACTGTGTTCTGACGAAGCGTGTGGCAAGACCACAGGAGGGAAGTAACCTCGCTCACTTCCCCTCAGCACCTAGCACAGTTTGCCAGGCAGCCGGACGCTCGCTAGACTTCCGTTCACTGAATACTCTGGGCTCTTGGAGACCAGCTCCTTCCCGCTTAGCACTAACGCAGAGGAGCGGAGGGCAGGGCAGGTGCCGCAGAGATCTGATAAGCGGATGCTCACAGCTCATCACGTGGCAGAGCTAGCTGGCTGGAGAGAAAGTCTACAGACACCCAGGGGAAGAAGGGGGACAAATGACCGAGGGCCACTGAGAAGAGGAAAGACTGTTACTAATACCTCACAAAGCACTTTGCAACCGGCCCGGGCCACGACCTCAGTTACTGATGATAAGCAAATACGGAGACGCAGAGAGAGAACACTGAGTGGGAGAAAGGAACGCCTTTCAGAAGGCAGAACAGGGGCGCCTGGGGGGCTCAGTCGGTTAAGCGTCCGACTTCGGCTCAGGTCATGATCTCACGGTTCGTGGGTTCGAGCCCCGAGTCGGGCTCTGTGCTGCCAGCTAGCTCGGAGCCGGGATTCTGTGTCTCCCTCTCTCTCTGACCCTCCCCTGCTCACGCTCTCTGTCTCTCTCTCAAAAAAACAAATGAATAAAACATTAAAAAAAAATTTAAAAAATTAAAGGCAGAAGAAGCCTGAGAAAGAAGCAGTTCCAGGAGACTCCGCTGTTGACCCAACGACTCCTGTCTCTCTGGACCAGCCCTTTTACAGCCAGGGCCTGGGCCCGACGGCCAGGGAGTGGGGAGGAGGGGAGGCATCTCTGTGCGGGAGGGGTCTCTGTGCGGGAGGGGTCCGTGTTGATTCTAACCCCATCCTACCCTGGGTCCTTGCCCTAGGACTCGGGTCCCACAATCCTACTAACCTCCGATGTGCACCCCATCCCCCATAGCTCTCGTAGGATACCCTGAGCACAGGGAAATGGGAGAGGCCCCCCCTGAGGACCCAGGTGAGTGCAGCTCCCCGTCTGGGGGCCTGAGGGGCCCTGCCTGGGGCTGCTAAGTGGATTGGAGCCAGCAGCCGGCGCTTGTGTGAGTTCAGCTGGGGGCGCAGGAGAGGGAGGGGGCGGGGGGAGGAGGACAAGGACTCAAATCGCTTGGTCAGTTCTGAGACTAACTCCTGGGCCTCAAGACGACCTCGCTGGGGATGAGGGGAAGGCGACCACCTGTCCCGGACAGAGAGGGGAGGCCTGTGGTAGAATTTCGGAGCCAGGAACGCTGGGAACATTTCCAGAGCAGGAAATCGGAAATATCTGGGACCTTCTGTGGGGTTTGGCGCAGCTGGCACGGGACCGAAGTTAGAAGCGGGAGGACTGAGACAGGGTTGAGACGAAAGGAGACGGAGACCTAGGGAATCCTCCCAGGACACACTGAGGAGTCCGTCGCTGGGAGTGACTTGGTAAGGGTGGGGCACCAGGAAATCTGGGCTTGAGAAAGTTCTAGAAGACTGGGCACATTCATCGGTGGGCTTCACTTGTGGGCAAAGCTTGGTTCTGATGCCCACTTGCATAAGTTAGCTTTCACCGTTATCAGGTGGAGTCTCGAATGTTCCCGGCCATGGGAGCGGTCACCTCCCTGAGGAAAGGAGTGGATTGGCCTGGATGACCTCGAAGCCCTTCCAGGGCTGACGTTCTGAGAGTCAGTGACCATCCGACTCCCCCCGGCCCAGGTGGAAGCAGGTCTACTCCAGGTTACCTCCTGACTGTAGTTGAGCGGGGGCACGAGGGAACCTGGGACGTTCTCGAGGGGCTCCCGGAGCAGCAAGAGAATAGCAGGCCCTCGAAGACTCTAAGTCAAATGGCAGGAGTGTGACTCAGAAAAGAACCAACAGATTCGAGAGCTAAATGGCGGGACAAACGCTTTGAGCTTTGAGCAAGGCCCTTGCATTCTTGGCCACGTGACGCGGGGACACGGGCCTGAGCCCACACCAGGCCAAGGCAGATCTAGGGAAAAGCCCCAACACAAAGGGGACAGCCACCTGGAGGTTTGGCTCTGTCCACACTGGCGTCAATACATCCCACCAGTATTTCTTTCACAGCCAGCCACCGGGGCTGGTGGTTTCCCATCAGCTAGCGAGGTTGCTGGGATTGTTGAGAAATATATTGGAAGGAGCCTTCGGGGAGGTGGTTTGTTCCAGAATTTGGAACATGGTGAACAGAGGCTCCTTGTGTTCAGGGGAGTGGAGACACTGAATGCATTGTCCCAGAGCCTCCAGCCCCTTCCTGAGGAATGCTGCTTCACAGATCCCGAGGCTACTTTCCACACTGACGAAGTGAGCTTTTTGGCCAAAAACATGTGGGAATTTGGTGTTTTAGCCATCTAGCAGGGGACGTACTGGCTTGTTTTGCTCGCTTCCCTCCTCCCCTCCCTTGCTTTCAACGTTGCGCTTTCTTTCCTTTTAACGTCAGGGAGCTTTGCTCACATTCTTCTGGGAGTTCCCGCCAAGACGCGGGGCATCTGACCAATGCCCAAACGCCCCTCAGTCTTCTGGGGCTGGCACGAATCTGGACTTGACTTCACTGTGACACTGAACAGCCCCCAGCTCTTCCCCAGTTCTCAGATACCCCAGGCTGGCTGGCTGGCTTCTAGAAAAAGTCAGCAATGCTCTGAAAAGCATGCAGCGCAGACTGCCTCTCGCTGCCGGTGTGGCCAGTGGGGGAGTCCGGGGGGCGAACGAAGCCCTTGGCCCCAGGTCCTTCTGGAAGGTCTGGTCCAGGCTTTGGTTTTGCAGCCTCTGCAGCAGTGGTTGCCCACACCCCCCCACCCCCACCCCGCTTCTGCAGCAGCGCCCTGGTTGATCTCTGTTCTTGTTGCCCACAGCCAATCTCACCAATGATGAAGACGCAGCCAAAATTGAGGTGAGCCATCCCAACCATCCCCTCCTCCCCCCTCCTCTGCTGCCTCCCTCCCCGTGACTGCTCCTTTCTGCTCTCTCTAGGCTGAGAATGCCATCACCTATTCCCTTCTCTTGCACCCGGAAGCCATAGAGGAAGAGGCAGAGGAGCCGGATTACCAGAACCACATTTAATCTCCATCATCTTGCCTGAGACCTGGGGAAGAGAATCAGAGGGGCCAGGGCGCCTGGCCTGAACTCCCCTTAGGAAGGACAAGAGGGTGCTGCGGTTCCAAAGAAGAAGGACTCTTGCAGAGTGACCTGTGTGAAAACTGGTGCTCCCTGTCCTAAAAGTCACAGACAATATGGCCCCAGATGACTGACTGTACTGACTCCTTCTGCGTCTCCGTCCTTCTCACCATTAAGACTCTTCTGCACACATTCACACAGCAGATAAAAAATTACATTTATTAAGAGATTGTAGCAACATGGAAAATATTTATGTTACAAGTTTCACGAGGAAAATTGTGGAAGTACGTACGGCTTCAGAAATGATGAAACAGACCAACGTTGGCCAACATGCTAAAAGTGGTTGTTTCAGGGTGATGGAATTCATTATTGGTGCTTTCCATTTTCCTTCTTTATTTTTCTGTAGAGATCGTGTATTCCTTTTATAATAAAATACTATGAAAAAAACAACATTCCCTTGCCCTGTTAAAGGCTGTATTGGTTGGAGTGTAGACTCATCTATTTCTTTTGAGCAGTAAAAATCTTGGGAAGGTAGTGATGGGTAGGAGGTGGAGGAGAGGGAAGGTTTGGAGTGTAGGGTGAGTATCCCTCTTAAAACTGACTACTCTTGGGGCGCCTGGGTGGCTTAGTCAGTTAAGCGTCCGACTTTCGCTTAGGACATGATCTCACGGTTCGTGGGTTCGAGCCCCGCATCGGGCTCTGTGCTGACTGCCAGCTCAGAGCCTGGAGCCTGTTTCAGAGTCTGTGGCTCCCTCTCTCTCTGACCCTCCCCTGCTCACGCTGTCTCTCTCTCTCCTAGAAATAAATAAAACATTTAAAAAAAAAAAAAAAGAAGAAAAACTGACTACTCTTCTTCCAGGAAACGTGTCTTCTGATTTCCATGTCTTCTTCCTTTTCCTCTGGCAAAGAAAGCAATCACTTTGTTTTGCAACTTTGTTCTCAGGAAGCCAAGCTTCAGATGAGTCCTCAGGGGAGATTGCTGGCTCTTCCTGCCCCAATCTTCTCCTATATTTACCAGCAGGATGTGACCTTCTTAGAGAAGCTATCCCGGCAGGTTAGAACGTGACTGACAGTTTCCCTGAGGGTTTGGTGGGTGCCCTTGGAGTGGCCTCACTTTCCTGGGACGCTAACACAACCTTCTTGAACAGTAAGCATCCTTGCGCTCAGGATTTGGCTGTTCCCTTTTCTTTATAGTTTCTAGAGCTTTCTATGATACATTTTATAGTCCCACAGTCAGATTTCACACTCACATAGTGTAATAATAATAAGGAATAGTAATGCTATTACTAGGTTATTGAGGGCTTACCTTATGCCAAACAAGGTGCTTTAGAATTTACAGAGTCAGAATATTAGCCATTCATATTTCTGCTTCCTGTTCACATTTCTTCTTCCTGTTCATTTTTAAGGGAATAATGTATATCTATAAATTTCATGATAGCCACTTACTTCCAAAAGGAAATAAAAATTTCTATGTAGCTTATTTTACTACACTTTTTTTTTATAAAATTAAAATACAGATAAGCAAAAGAGATCACCTGTATGCCTACTAACCGGAAATAGTCAATGCCCACATTTGAAGAGTGCCAATCCACGTTCTCGTCTGTAGCAATAGGTATATCTATTTTTAAAAATTGGATCACATCATATTTTCACATGTTTTCATAAACACACATGGACAGAAATTCATGCTCACTGTAAGCATGTAGTTCAAACCATACAGGAATATATAGAGTAAAAGCAAATGCTCCCTTTCACGACCCCCTTGCCTTGTTCCCCTTTCTGTGGGTAACTGCTATTGAACATGTGGTGTGTATTTCTGAAATTTTTGGTATGCATCTGACACATATTTACAGTTTTTTAAAGACCATAAGTGGGGCCATATTTTACATTTCCTAATGCAGTTGGTTTATTTTGATTGACGGTGTATTATAGGGTTCTTTCCATGGAACTTTTTTCTTTTTGAGGATTATATGGTGTTCCGCAGTGCACCAACACTTTAAATGTTACCAATTTTTCATTGTTACACACAGTGCTGCAATAAACCAATAAATTTTGGGGTGATATTTTTGAGTGCACATGTGACTCTTTCTTTTTTTTCCCACATTAAAATTGTATTTATTTATTTATTTTTTCAAATAGTTTATTGTCAAATTGGTTTCCATATAACACCCAGTGCTCATCCCCGCAAGAGCCCTCCTCCATGCCCATCTCCCCTCTCCCCTCCCACATCCATCAGTCCTCAGTTTGTTCTCAGCATTCAAGAGTCTCTCATGGTTTGCCTCTCTCCCTTTCCCCCACCATTTCCCCCCTTCTTCTCCCCATGGTCCTCAGTTAAGTTCCTCCTAATCCTCCTATACATGCAAACATATGATATTTGTCCTTCTCTGCCTGACTTATTTCGCTCAGCGTAACACCCTCAAGGTCCATCCATGTTGCTACACATGGCCAGATTTCACTGTTTCTCATTGCCATGTAGTAATCCATGGTATAGATAAACCACATCTTCTGGATCCATTCGTCCGTTGATGGACACTTAGGCTCTTTCCATGTTTTAGCTATTGTGGAGAGAGCTGCTATGAACACGTGTGACTCTTTCTGAAGGATAAAGTCCTAGATGTAGCAGCTTCCCTGTCCCCCCCGGAATATTTTAGAGTGCCCAATTCTTGACACCCCTGTCCATATTGGGCACTTAAAATTTTACATTTGTGCCAATCTGCCAATCGGATTATAATGGACTATGGCACTGTTCCCTTCCTGGCATGAACCTTCCCTGATTTTCGTAACAAAGACTGATCTTGCTTTGGCAAGATCCTGCTGCCCCGTCAGTCCATGTGGGTAGGTGGGCTCGCTGCATCTCTGATCCCAGAGGAGAGCGTGCACCCCAGCTGATCGGACAAGTGCTGTCTTCCCAGAATTTCAATCTGGACATCAAGGTCGCCCGGCTGGCTCAGTCGGCTAAGCATCCAACTTCCAATCAAGTCATGATCTCGTGGTTTGTAGGTTTGTGCCCCACATTGGACTCTGTGTTGACAGCTCAGAGCCTGCAGCCTGCTAGGGATTCTCTCTCTCCCCCTTTCTCTGCCCCTTCCCCACTTGTGCTCACTCTTGCTCTCTCTCTCTCTCAAAAATAAATAAACAATTAAAACATTCTTTTCTTCCTTTCAATGTTTGATCAATTGAGACATTTTTAATCTGGAGCAGATTAGACCATGAGGGAAGGCAGGTGAAGTTCATTCATCGCAGTGGCACTGCCTGGATGAGACCAGCTTCCTACATCCTCCAATCTGCCCTGTTTCTTGTACTTTCTAAGGTCAGTCAACGTCCCCTGAGAATAGACAATTTAGGTTTGATAGACTTCTCCTATAATATCATATGGGCTTGATACCTTTTTTGGGGTACATCTTTGACAAACTTTTGTTTCCCGTCATTATTGGCCTCATCAGGCTTTTCTATCTCTCTTGGAGTCAAGTTTGAAAAATCATCCATTTTGCTGGTATGCAGCGGTACGCCACATTTTCTTCTATTTTTTGGTAATACCTTATGTGTCTGTCCACATAAATTGTCCCTCCTCTCATGCCTAGCTTTTGAACATTCTTTCTTTTATCAGTAAGATGATTTCAGCTGGAAATAACAGGAAAGCATGATGCGAGTTGGCTTAAACAGTGAGGAAATGTATTATCTCACATAACAAAAAGTCGAGAGACAGGATGTCTGTAGTACATCAGGACTCTGGGTCCAATTTTCCTCAATTCTCTGGTCACGGACCTTGGGCCAGCAGCAAGATGATTCTAGCAGCTCCGAGCATCAGACTCAAAAATACAGAGAAAGAAAGAGACTAACGACCTCTTCTACGTGTCTCTCTCTTAAGAGTGTCGAACTTTCCTCCAGCAATCTTGCCGTGTCGTATAGGTCAGGACTGGGTAACGTGCCCATTGCTAAACCAATCATTCAGAAGGGGATGAAATTGGCCACCATAACTTCCTTAATCATTCCAAGGTGGAATGACTCCTGGAGAGGCAACCACCTTGACCACTCGTCCGCTTTAATCAGACTTGCCGGAGGTTTGTCGGTTTTCTTAGTCCTGTCTTATTGATCTTGTCTTATTGATCAGGTCTTTGCCTTTTGTTTCCTAATGCATTATTGCCTCCCTCTACTTTAGATTTACCGCATTATTAATTTATTTCTAAACTTTTCTTTTTTAAAAATGTTTATTTATTTTTAAGAGAGAAAGAGAGAGTGCAGTACAGAGGCAGAGAGAGAGGGGGGCAGGAGGATTTCAAGCAGGATTTCAACCCTGTGCTGACTGCAGAGAGCTCAATACAGAGCTCCGACTCACAAATGAGATCATGACCTGAGCCGAAGTCGGATGTTTAACATACTGAGCCACCCAGGTGCGCCTAAGCTTATGGTTTTACACAAATTCACAAAGGCTATAACTTTTCCTCTTATTGTTATCTTGGCCACAACCATATATTCCTGTCATTGTTACTTATTTCTAAATAATCTATAACTTTAGTTTTACTCCCTTCTTAACTCAAGGTTGATATAGAAGTTTTTCTTTTCTTTGTTGGTTTTCTTTTCAAGAGGAATAAGCCTTCTCTCCTTTGTTGTTATTTTCTACTTTCACTGCACAGTGGTGTGGTCTATGTGATTTTTTTTTTTTGCATGTAAATATCTTTAAATGTATGTGTGAAGACAATGCTTTTTTCATTTTTATTTATTTTCTGTTTTTCTTTCCTTCATTTTTAAATGATTTTTAAAAGCTTTAGCATGTGCTAAAGGAACACATGCACAATTTGTTCTTTTTTTAAAAAATTTTTTTAATGTTTTACTTGTTTCTGAGAGAGAGAGAGACAGTGTGAGCAGGAGAGGGTCAGAAAGAGAGAGAGAGAGAGAGAGAGAGAGAATCTGAAGCAGGCTCCAGGCTCTGAGCTAGCTGTCAGCACAGAGCCCGACATGGGGCTTGAATCTATGAACCATGAGATCATGACCTGAGCTGAAGTCGGACAGTTGACCGACTGAGCCACCCAGGTGCCCCCCGGAGCACACACACAACTTAAATGGAATAATAGAATGCAAGGCATGTAAGAAGATAGCTATTTATTGGCCCTTTCCTTACCCCCCTCAGCCCTATTCCCTGGAGGCAATAAAATAATAGTAATTTTCAACAATTTTAACTGGGTCTTCTGTTAACTTACTTCCATATGTCATATGCTGCTATTTCTTGATTTTTTTCAGTATTAGATATTATCCATTTGAACTCATTCCAATGAATATGAAGATCGCTCTTATCATACCCTCGCTACTAACTTCCCTCTTTCCTTACCCACTGGTCCATTACAGCTTTATCAGCATTTCGCGGCTGCTGTTCATTACTGAGACACACAGTGTTCACTGATTATATGTCCTTTCCCGAACAATCTTTTCCTCTCTAGAGATAATAACTGCTTCATTTTTGTCACTTGGTTAGTTTTCTGTGTGCCTATTATTAGCTATTCCCAAAGTTTTGAAAAACATTCTGAAGCAACTTAATACTATTTCCCACCTGGGTAAATGTACCAAGACGTTTTTCAGTTTCTTTTT